GAGACAGGAATTCTTGGTGGATCTACTTCATTATGCGATGGAGGACCCAAAAGTATTCTAGAGTTACCTTAAACAGAGTACACGAAACAGGAGTACAATACCTCCGCTGAGCGTATAAAGCTTACTTAAAATAGGGCGAAAGTCGATTATCTTTAAGAATTTTCCCGTAAGTTTTTACTTATCAAAATGGATATTACTACTCTGTGGTTGACTCCACATAGGCCACAGCAGTTGAGACTGTTCAGTATTTGTACTTGATTCGAGTAGCTCCTGTTGTTGGATGAATAGGCTCCACCGATCCCGGCGTCCAATTGACGGCGGTCGCAGGCGAGCTCTTGGCAAACGCCATTCCAGTGCTTGTTCCTGCGTTGGAAGCCGTATGCGGTTACGAGTCCCATGTGGTCGACGTCTGTCTCGACAGTGTTGAGCCACGTCTTAAGTTGACCGTCATGTCAGGATCGCGAGTTTGAACTACGAGTGGGATTCATAAACATTCTGCAGAGGTCCGTCGGTGACTTGCCCAGGGCATGTCCAAACCATTACACTCGTCGATATATGGCGCTAGACCTGGTAAATAGAAACACCTGTGATATAGCTCAACATTAGAAAGCCGATCCTGCCTGGAGTCTCTTAAAAAGGCATCAACGGTCGAACGACTGACCATGTTCGCAAGTATATACTAACACCGGTTAAATAGATGCTCTGTATATCAAAAGCTTATTACGTAAGCTAATGGCTTAGCGCGACTAGAGTGTACCGGATAGCAGTTTAAATGTATTTCAACTTGCGAGCTTCGTTTCCTGATTTCTTCTTTTGCCGGTCCGTTGGCTCTTCAGTTCACCTAGGCGGCTACTCTAAATATTTGTGAGAGCTAAATGTGTCCAACTCGTCAGGTTCCAAAGAGTTATCGGGGAAGATGATGCCTACCAGCCGATTCAAAGGCCGCGTGCATTATACCGCTCGTAAGGGCGGAAGTCTGGACTCTGCAAGCAATTATCAGACTGTCAGCCTTAATTCGATTTTCCGTAAAATTAGGAAATATTTGGCAACAATTAATGCAGTTTCTGAAACAAAACTCTCTACTCTTCAAATTCCAGCATAGTTTCTTTAGAGGCAGTTCCAATATGACAAACTTGCTCTGTTGTGTAGAACCTTGGACTGGTGCAATAGATAGTGGGAATACAGTGCATACAGTCTACCTTAACTCCAAAAAGACCTTCGATAGCGTGCCTCACCATCGCCTTTATTGCAACTTCACCCGCAGAACTTTACAATTGGCTGTTCTTAAACTGCTCATTTCAGTGACAAGCAGTCAATGGAGGTTGCAGCTGAGCGTGGTGTTCCCCAAGGTTACATTCTCGACCCTACCCGGTTCATCATATACGTCAATGCTTGTGTCAGTGAACTAAATCTCGAGATCGTCACGTTTTTCAATGATATAAACCTCTGGAGCGTTATCCAAACTGCAGTCGACACAGAGAATATGCAGACCAACCTAAGCCGACCCCAAAAACATCCGAAAAACTAGCTCTTACCATTCAGTAAGGGAAATTGCAATAGTCTACGAGTTGGCAGAACCCATAATTATTACCCAACTGTTTAATTTCTGGACGGTGTACTAGTGCAAGAAGGTGATGAAAGGAAGGTATTCGGAATATGGATTACGCCATCGCTTAAATCCTCCTTGAATTGCTCAAAGTCGGCCAAGTCTGTGATATTGGTTCCATAGCTTGTCAAGAAGACTTTCTCTGTCTTTGCTGAAGACTGCTTCACTAAAGTTTTCCGAACGTTCGTGTGACCGCAACTGGAATTTACTATACAATCTTGGAGACCCTGGACTGGTAAGGATCTCGAAATCCTCAGAAAGGTCCAATAACGTGCAAAAAAG